TGCTAACCAGTGAAAGGTTCGAGTCTCCACTAGAGTTTGAGTCTCCGCTAAGCAGGGTTTGAGTCTCTACTAATTGTAAGCAAGATTCGAGTCCCCGCGCCCTTCGCTAATGTAAGTGGGTTTAATCTTTACTCTTAATGAAATCTTTGTATTTCTGCCGAACGGAATTAGTTTTTACTAGTAAAATGTTTATTAAATAATTGTTTTATATATGTATATATATTTAATTAAATCATATATATATTATTTCATCATTTTGCTATTTTCATTAGTTTATTTTTCTTTTACGGTATACCTAGCCTGACTGCAGGATTATATATCGTAGATTTCAAAATTATGTTTATACGAATTGTTTGCATATTGTCTATATGAAGTTTAAATTAACTTTTTTCATGTAAGCATGTGAACTATGTAAACTATTATATTATTATTATACAACAACCCTGAATTTGTGATACTAATTAACCTAATATTATTGCATCAATCTAATTTTGCAATTAATCAGATTGGTAGTAAATAAGGACAGCCTCTTTCTCATTTGAATAAAGTTTATTTAAAATTTGTCACATTTTTTTCCTAGCATTATTATTAATATTATTATTACATGCATGCAATCTTCAAATACGTGCAATTCACATATACACATTTACACATTCGTACGCAATCAAATTTATATTTTAAATATCGGCCTTATCACATATGCGATAAAAATAAAGGAGCAAGTAAGCGTAATCATCGCGGTCACTGCTGTTTAACTTGGCAGTAACGATATGAAAATCATCTTTCCTTCCTTTAACTGCATCACGTTAGACTTTCTGCACGTAAGATGAGACAAACTTAAAAGAAATATATTAAAAAGAAAAATGTGTGTGTGCAAAAAGGTACAAACGTGCAGTTAAAGAAAGAAAAATGTAAAACAGTGCTGTTTTAATTCAATATTATGATACAGAATGTATATTTTTAGGGGCTTCAAAGAAATCAAAAACGTGATAAAAAAGCGAAAAGACAACGATGAACGGAACTGTGCTAGAAATAGGAGAAAAACGTGCAAAAAAATGCAGAAAAGTAGAAAATCTGGCTTTGTCAGCGATTATCAGGTAAGCATATTCGAAATTTGTGCAGATTTTGATAAAGATGTATAGTTTTAATATTTTGATAAAGATATATAGTTTTAATAATTATCTTGTGATATAGTTAATGGAACATGTAAGTGTTAAAACATTGTAACCTTCGATGCTAGGATGGAAAATTTCAATTATCCTATAATTTAAAGAGCTCATTCTGAAAAACAAAATCGTCCTCTTTAAATTCATTTTTTTAAAAAGCTCTTCGTTACTTTTCAAATTAATCTGCCGGATTTCCCATCGATCTTTCACGAGTGACGGGAACGAGAGAAACGATCAAACATTAGAATTGGCTTCCCGCCACGTGACCTGACCGAGATTCTGCAGCCTCAGACTGTTGACTGGGCTGTCGTCGCCCTCGTAGCCGGCGTTTACGTGTCCAGCTGCCGACGTCGCCCCGTGTCCCTCAAACACGTCCTTGACGGATATCTGACTGCTACGGGACGGCCGGCCCTGGATCCCCAGGGGGTTGCCGGTCACGCCGTAGATGTTATTCGCGCCCAAGGTCTGCATCTGCGACTTTCGGCGCTGTGCCATTATGCTGTTACGCCTGCCCTCGAACGCCTTGAACGCCTCGGTGGTGCGTCGCGTCGACATGTTTCTCGGCAAACCTGGCAAATTTTTATTTAACTTTGAGTGTTAGTTCGCTTAAAAGTTTTCGCTTATTTTGTTTTGAATGTAGTTTCTTTCTTTTGGGAGATGAGGGAGAGATGATACGAACCTGCGCCCTCGCTCATGCTAAAGAATCGCTGCCTGAAGGCTACATCGAGCGTGTTGATCGCCTGCGTTTTCCTGCGACTCTTCTCCAGATTTCTAATCGTTTTTCGTCTACCGGGTCCGCTGCCGCTGCCCTCTTCGTAATCGCCCTCCATTCCGTCCAGTCTTTGCAGATCTCTCACTATCTCGACCGCGTGTTTTGACAGCAAAGCTTCCTCGGAAAGATCCTTCGTCTGCGAAAATGGTAACGTTCGTGTAAAATGACTCGAATGTATAAGTTATTGCATTAAAAATATTTAAAATACAAATGTATGTGTGAATAATAATTATATAAGAAATTAAAAATATATTCTAAAAAAGTTATATAAGAAAATACAAATTTGAAAGATTAATTCGAAATGTAAAATGTGTAATTTAAAATGAATTAAACATAATTAGCACTAATCTACTTCTTTTATAGAGAAAAAGTTCCCCAAATTCTTTAAAAAAAAAATATATATAATTTTTAACTTTACTTAAAATAGAATGTGAAAGAATAATATCATCTGTTGCAACGATTTAATATGAAAAGCAGAAGATATGCATAATTTTATAAAATGAATTACAAATACCTTCTTGCAACAATCTAGGCTAGTGCTGGCCAAAATGTGGGCAAGTGTGCCGAATCGGTGAAACAACATCGCGGTGAATTGTATGACCAATATTAGCGCGAAGAAGAAGACGAAGACAAGTCCGATTGGCTCAAGTTGCAAATACTCTTTCGTGATGTGTACCTGCAAAACCGCTCTCTTGTAAAATGCGTTACAACGCACGACAAGCGTTTTGGAAAAAAAAATGCCCGACGAAGATCAAATCGGATCCATCTGCTCGTTCAATTAATTTTGAAAAAGAGATCGAGATTGTTAAATAAAATTTATTTATATTATTAAATTTTTTTTCTGGTTTATTGAATCAAATTATTTTCGTAAATTTTATCGTCAAAAGGAAAACCGTTTCGAGAGAGAGAGAGAGAGAGAGAGAAAATCATTTTTCCTTCCTAAATTATAGAAATTCCATTTCAAATTATTTTTGTGAGCACAGTAACCGATCGATCGCCATCAGGGATCTTATGTACAATCGAATATACAAACAAATTTTGTTAGCGATTAAAAAATCCACAATCATCGGTGTGTCTTTCGTGCGTGTTAAGATTAACACATCTATGTACACATATACAGCTCATGAATAAAATAAGACGAGCTCGGGGATTGAACACTGAAAGCATTCACCGCGTTATATACATTAGTGGTGCTCGTCCACAATTAACGATATAGTGCACATGTCAGAGTTAGACACAACGAAAGAGAAAAGAAGAATGCAGATCTGAAAATCTATAGATCTGTAGATTCTTGCGAATCTGAGAGTCTGCGATTACAGGACTTTTGCACAGAGACGGATTTATAATTTCGTTCAGTGTCATTTTTTTAATAACAATTATTTTCCTTATAAAATAATATTAATTTGAATATAATGACACTCTTCAATCTCAATTATAAAAATACTAATTTTGATAACAATAAAATATTCTAGCTTTAATAATAGCAATAATTTTTATAATATCAATTGCTAATAATTTCTTCAAGTATTAAATAAAATTTAGATTTCTATTCAAGAATTATTAGCATCAAAAATCCTGAAAAAAATGTCAACATCCGTCTCTGTCTCCGGATTATCGCGATTTAATTGCGTCATGTAATTAAATTAACGAGATTTAATTTAATTTCATGAATCTTGACAAATTTAGTGAGAGAAGGTAAACGGAAGTATATGTTATTGTGACATTCAGGCGACTAATTTCTGGTTATATTCCTAGTCAGAACCACGAGAAATCATCTCCCCCGCCATTCCATTCCATTTCATTCGACCCGGGTGATGAGGGTGAGATACCTGTGTGAGAATATTAATCGGAGACCCACGTGCTGTCGAACGCGAGCCAGTCGTGTTAATTACACACAAAAAAATATATACATATTGAATGGAACAGGTGCAACGTCATTGTACCGAAGGTATAATGATCGCCCCCGATACGTTAGAATACTCGCATAATTCGATAAACGGATTTTGAGAGAGAAATCTAATCAATTAAAAATGTGAAAAAAGATCTGAATATTTGAATCATGGAAAAATAAAAAATTTAGAGATTAAAATTATAGAAATTAGATATCTAAAATTTAAAATTAATGATATATGTTCGATATTAAAAATTCATTTCAGCAATTTCCGTTCTTTAATCAATTTTCATTAATTTTCTCGTCAATCTTTCCAAGTTTAATAATTTTGATAAATCTCAGCAAGATCTACGAAATCATAATTTAAAAAAAATTGCATATCGCGAAAATTCCAGCGCATCGAGGGCGACTTTAACAGAGGACACCATGGCACCGCCTTAATCCTTTTCCCCCGCCTTGATGCTTGGTGATCGGATACCTCCGAGGTCTCCTCGACGTAGGTGATGTTGGTCTTGACGCCGAGCGGCCAGACAACGTGCAGCTGATCCTTGTTCAGCTGTAGCAAGAATACGATCAGAACGAACAACGCATTGAACATTAGAAAGGCGAACACGCTCTTGTTGCGTAGCTCGATCAGATCGGCGGCGACGCGGGCCTGTGTTGCGTGGCGCAAATGCAGGGGAAACAGAGAAAAAGAAAGAGACGACACGAGATTAGAATAGTAAAAAAAAAGCTCCGTCGATCGATCCATCGATATCCGTCGATCTCGTCGTTAACGATCCGCTTGATTTATTTTGTAGGTTTAAATCTAGATTTAAATCTAAATTCTTTTAATAGATTGTCAACGATCTGTATTCACGATCGAGGATGCGAGGCGCCGACGGAGCTGGCTTTACCTCCATGGTGCTATCGTCATATGTGACGTTCGTCTTGATGCCGAATGGCCACTTGATGTGCAACAAGTCTTTGTTCAATTGCAGCAGAAAGACGATCAGGACGAAGAGGGCGTTCATCATAAAGAATGCAAAGACGCTCTGGTCGCGTAGGTCCTTCAGATCTTTGGCGATTCTTGCCTGACAGCATGGCGTACATTAATTCAAATATTGCACAAGTACGTGGAATATATAATTAATAAATAATAAACCTTCCCCTGAATAGGGGGGAAGTGCATCTCATTTTATAAAAAACGATCATTTTCAATTTCAAAATTAAATTATTTTTTTAGATTATTGATTATCTCTTTCAATTTTTCTAATCGAATTTTATCACTAGACGGCACATTTGCTGTGCGATTATTGAAAGACGCAAAATCTATAAATCCTTGAGATTTTGGATCCTCAACAATTGCACGATCGTCCAACAAGACAGTGATGCGCGAAATAAGTTGTCTAAAACATAAAGATAAATATTTCAGGAGGGTAAATTTTGTTTCTTCACCCTTGATCGACGACAGCTTGCAGTGACAAAGACATATTGTATCGCAACAGAGCTCGTTTTGATCCCGAAAATTTATTCTACAAGATCAAAATTAATCCATATTGAAATATTATATAATTGCATCTCTATATAAAAGTTTTTGAAAATGTAAGTGCAAAATGAAATTTTTTCATGATACGCAAAGGAAAATGCAAATTAGATATAAAATTGACTAAATTCAAAGATTAAACACATTCTGAATCTTATAAAATAAATTATTTCAAGATTCTTTCAATTTCTCTATTTTTTATAAAAATCAAAAAAAAAAAATTAAAGAAT